ATTAAAGCAAGAGGTTAAAATATTGAAATATAATAAAACCATAAACCCAGTGATTTTCAAATTACCTTCATCTAAATCGAGATTAGGCGTAACAACTCATGGATTTGTCTCCAGAGAGCTGCTTCCTGAATCTGTTAGCTTAACATTTAAATCCCCAGGAACGTCATCCTTTTGTTCTCCAGTCGGGTTAAATCTCGTAAACAGGGATGTTGTAACATCCCGGGTATTTTATATAATGTCCTTCGGATGTTATTGATAAAACTTCCATTTAGGTTGTGACATATGAATTTTTCTCGCTAAAAATGTATTTTGCATTTGAAAGAAAATGTAATGAAATGTAAAATCAAATGACAAATGTTTTCTTTATATTCCCGAGGATCGAAAACACAACCTTTATTGTGAGCGTACCAATAGGCTTCAGAGGCGCTGATAAAAAACAATGCTTTAAAGAATGTCTTTTTCAAGTACCGTACGCGTAACAGATATTTTACGCCCGTTTCCTAAGGTTCATGGAAAGTATGTTTGAAACATGAAAATGTTGATAAATGTTGTTTTAAGTCTTTTTTCGGTTCATAAGTTAGATAAAACACTTCCTCTCGGGTTCTTAAGATATTTAAAACCCTTATCTTTGGCGAAAAAACTTTGTTTTAACCCCGCAGATGCGGATTTTATCATCATAAAAACCCTGGGATGTGCTTTATCATACAGATGAAGCAGTAGAGGAGGCTGCAGATGTGATGGACTCAACTCATCATCTACCCTGTCATGTTGACAATGTTTATAAGGGAGGTCTCATTGTTAGTTGTTAGTGTTTAAACTACCCGCCAGCCCAACAGTCCGAGACGGTCTATGTCGCTGACCGATGGTCAGTTTTGAAAAGTTGCATGGCCGATGGTCAGCGGCTAAAGTTACTAAGTTGACAATCCACCAGTTTATTGTTATTTTCTGAGAACTAACATTAAACAGCACTATTCTCATGTTTACCCTTTTGTTACTTTTGTTCGTTAGTCTAGAAAATTTGGGACTGGCAACATTTTATCTGGTCTGGTAACTTTGCAATGTTGCCAGTCTGGTTGTCTGACTGAAATTTTTGGACATTTTATACACAGTTATCAGTCCGTGGGATGAAATTGAGATTGGATTTAATTTAGTGGGAATAAAAAATATTTTCCTCCCGCTTTAGACAAGATCAAAATAATCATAAAAAACCCTGCAGCATCTAAGATCATGCGTTTTGGGAGATCTGTATACATGATGTTTTGTACAGTGTAGGCTTGAAGAAGGCATCATGACAAAGTGTATCGTTACAGCTCTACCAACAACATCTTCCTTTGTTTCAGCAATGCGGTAACATATACAAATATATCTTTGTAGGAAGTTACAAAATACAGACGAAAGCACCACCTATATGATGCGATAGATCAATTATGTCGTGAATTCAAATACTGATATCCTGACTCCAGTCCACAAAAGTGTTCATGGTAAATAACTACTGTAAAGCGATACACAACATTCACATCCACACAGTTCAATATGATTGGCTTGACAAAATGACTGTGTCCTAGCAAGGCACACGCAATGAAACACTGTTAATCTGGATGTTGGTGTTCTCAGTGAACGTTTTAACCCATGTGAAACCCTAAGATCTCCCGTGAACCTATGTGAAACCCCAAGATCCTGTGTAAACCCCTGTGAAACCCCAAGATCCCTTGTAAACCCCTGTGAAACCCTAAGATCCCTCGTAAATCCATTTGAAACCCTAAGATCTCCTGTGAACCTATGTGAAACCCAAAGATCTTCCGTGAACCTCTGTGAAACCCCAACATCTTCGGTGAACCTCTGTGAAACCCCAACATCTCCCGTGAACCTATGTGAAACCCCAAGATCTCCCGTGAACCCATGTGAAACCCCAAGATCTTCCGTGAACCTCTGTGAAACCCCAACATCTTCCGTGAACCTCTGTGAAACCCCAACATCTCCCGTGAACCTATGTGAAACCCCAACATCTCCCGTGAACCTATGTGAAACCCCAACATCTCCCGTGAACCCATGTGAAACCCCAACATCTTCCGTGAACCTCTGTGAAACCCCAACATCTTCCGTGAACCTCTGTGAAACCCCAACATCTCCCGTGAACCTATGTGAAACCCCAACATCTCCCGTGAACCTATGTGAAATCCCAACATCTCCCGTGAACCTATGTGAAACCCCAACATCTCCGATGAACCCATGTTAAAACCCCACATTGTAACCCCATGTGCACCCCTGCAATCCAATGTCAACCCCTGTAACCCCCCCCCCCCCCCCCCGACCTCCCTTAAACCTCTGTTCACCATGAACGTAGACAACCCCATCTGCAAGATAGACTTGCAAAACATCCCATACAAAAAAATACTTCTGGGTGAGTGTTTCTACTGGACTGCTGTGACTGCCTGTTGTCTAGTCACAGAGGCAGCGGGTCCGAGTTCACTGCAGATGCAGCTAGCCTGACAGCACGTGGACCCGGAACACTCAGTACTCCAAGACTGCGGTGACTGCCTGTTGTCTAATCACAGAGGCAGCGGGTCCGAGTTCACTGCAGATGCAGCTAGCCTGACAGCACGTGGACCAGGTACACGCAATACTCCAAGACATGGCACAGAAATACAGGTGGTGATTCTCACATAATCAGTTACACAGCATGAGAGATAGCACACGCCACCAGGTACAACCAGACAGCAGTGAGGTCAGCAATACTACTCAACGTTTCATAGGGATCGGTTTATTCCTATCTTACAAACATCAAGCTGCAACTGCTTATGAAATGTGTACTTCATAGCTTGCAATTGTGTTGGCCCGATACATCATCTTACAGCAATCAGACACCTTCAGGTGAAGTTCATAGAATAGGTCTTCAGCAACCCATGCTTGCCGTAAAAGACGACTATGCTTGTCGTAAATGGCAACTAATGGGATCGGGTGTCAGTCTCGCTGACTTAGTTGATGCGTGTCTTCGTATCCCAATTGCGTAAATCATTGGACTGTCTGGTCCAGACTCGATTATTTACACACCGCCGCCATATAGCAGGAATATTGCCAAGTGGGCAATTAAACAACAATCAGACAGCTTCAGTCCCGGCCCTCAAGACTGTCCCTGTCAAACGTTGAGTAGTATATAATTATATACACACGTACCAGTGAGTGTATACAGGATCAAATCAGGGAGCTAAAGATGAGGTAATGGTAGATGATGAAGCAAGACAAGCAGATACAAATATATAGAACTATTTCATCACTTCAAACAGCTACATATGTCACTTCAATAAATACAAGAAAATAGGCAGTCAGTGGGTTGGTTATTCTACAGGCTAAAAAAATAGTTTTTAAAACAATTATTCTCCAGAAAAGTTAAAATGTTCAACTGGGAGAATTATTTTCAGCTAGGGTGTCTGAGAATACAGACCAGGAAGTACAAATACCATCTCCAAATTCCAAAACCAAATATCAATATACTGAACTTACAAAGTTAGGGATCATGAACACTCTCATTAAAATCAGACCTTAGTTCTCGCTACCGCTAAACAAAGATCTGAGGACATCCCATTATGGGTCACATCAGACCGACCTTGCGTGAACTTTGACCGACCAATGGATTGATCAATCAGAAGGCAGCTTTCTCATGCTTTACGGCACTAATTTCAAATTGGCGACTACGCTTCGAAACATATTTTGACAAATTCTCGATTACAAATTTGAAACCTAAACAAAAGAGCATTCTGGAATAGATAGATGGTCTAGATTGCACGGATTGAGTCGTTAAACCCGTAACTATCGTTCGGAATATCCTGTGTTAACGTTTTCGAGGTTGCATTATCAGAATTCACATTCCGAATGTCACTTTCATGATCTGGTAAGCGACGCTCTGATCGGTCGGATGAAAGGTCGTTCTGACGTGACCCCTAAAGGGATGTCCTCAGATCTTTGTTTGGCGGTAGCGAGAACTGAGATCTGATTTTAATGAGATTGGGATCATGAATATTTTGGGGTGCATTTTTATGAAACTATGTCCTCAGTCTCCACTACAAAATAAATAGCCTCAAAAATAGTCATGATCCGTACCTTTTTTAGTTCAGCAGATGCACAAAATAGTTAAGTTTGTACAGATTCTTTGATATTGAGAATATTTTCAGTGTGCAGGTACATACTCTTGTTTCTCAAGCTACCAAACTCCATTTCCCAGCACGGAACCATCATACCTCTCTAGAATTCATTCCTTGGAATGTTTACTCATGGAATCAGGACAACTCAGCACAATGCACATTCACAATATCAAAATCCCAAACTTGGCAAAAAACTGAAAAAATCTTCCAAAAGCAAACTCTTTACAATTGTGTAAAAAAAAAAAAAAAGTACATAGTCAAGGTCTAACTTTCATCTACATTTCGTCTAGGGCTGGGACGGTTAACTCGGGTACTTGGGTCGGGTGGGTACTGAGAAGGACCCGGGTACCCACAAGACTACCCGGACCACTGGTTAGTCACGTGATATATGACAATGACAAAAATTATCTAGAACTCTATGGTTTCACTACAAGTCACTAATGTTTTCATTTCTTTCTGACTATACACCCATTACTTCTGACTTGTATAGTTTGAATAAAGATAAAACTTCATGCAGTAAACTTCCATGTATGCATGACCTGATCGTTTTATAAGTGCATCTGAATACATTTTGCGAGGGAAAACTTTTCCCATCGGACATTTGGACCTATCTCTTGAGACCTACAGCCGGTACCCGGGTAGGGTCGGGTAATAGGGCGTGGGGGTACCCGGGTAGGGTCGGGTAATAGGGGGTGGGGGTACCCGGGAAGTACATTTGGACTCGTCCCAGCCCTAATTTCTTCGAACAAACCAGGTGCACGCGTTCTGACATTTTTGACAACATACAGCTGTAATAGAAAATATGGCTGTATTTCGCTCTTATATGACACCAAGGATAGAACATGCAGGTTTCAGATGGTAGGTGGTTCATTGTTTATTTGATTGAACTTGATTTGCTGAACCATTCGGAAATGTTCAAGTCTATTCCATACAGAATCCCACATGTTTGTAATCATCTTGACATTCATAGTCAACATTTGCTGAGGACCAAAACAGTCATCTTCAGTCAAGTTGTGATCCGATCCTTACCAAATGTTGAGTAGCATAGTACATATAAATAACTCACACTGTTTCCATGCCAACACTTCATGAATAATTACAGCATGAGATAGCATCATCACCCTCAACATACCAGGGCTCATTCCACAAAGTGATCGTAACGCTAAGATGATCGTAACTCCCATACTTTAACACAGACTTCCGACAGTCGTAGCGCTACGATCGCCTTGTGGAATGGGCCCCGAGTGTTAAATGTGTGACAAAAGGATACAGGTTTTGACATGTACTTGTACTTGTAGATGAAAGGCCTGGATTATGACCACACATATTATAAGAAAATACCTCAAAATACAAGGTGTTATTATCTCCAGATGCCCTTATCACGAGGCTGACAGACTTACAAGGCTTGCGCTAACTTCGATCAACTCTTTTTTTTCGATCAGGTCTTTCGAACTGTGCTCCATGTTCTGGGGATGAGCTACCATGAATTTTGCAAAATCATAAAAGTAATGTTTTTGATTGAAATAATAAGAATCACATTCCCTACTTGTCAGCAGTTTTGGCGGTGATTCAATATTCTGTTGTTGATGTTGTTTATTTCTTTAGGTGGGCAGAATAAAAATATTTATTTCTTATGATAGTAATCATCAAATAAAATCACAAAAATATAACTGTCGTGACAGTGACAGAGCAAAGATGATGGCTTTCTGGCATTTTGTGATATGACGATAAGGACAAAACCAAAAAAACAGTGCAAAATAACCACATTTTCAATCAAATACACCACTTCAAAAAAGAAAAATAGGATTTGTTTGCTTCTACAAATTTCAGGGACTCATCGCCAGAACAGAAAAGACAAAATAATTTGGCCGAACTGCAAGTTACGAATCTTCATCTCCATCCATAGCACACACACAATAGGTAAATGTATGGCAGATCATATTTACAATAAAGACCATATAGAACACTCACCATAAAAATAGAACCTTCAAATTGTACACAGCCAATCAAGAAAAACACTTAGCAGTCTCTTTTCCTATTATGAGAATATATAAAACCCTTCAATGGAACATTTCGGTCACAAAAACACTCATAGACATAAACTGAGACCTGCCTAATGCACAGAGCCATTAATGGGGCGCGTTCTCGGTTGCATAGGGGTCTCTTTAGACGAGGACTTGTCGCCAGCCTTTCCGTCGTCATTATGCTCAATCTTGGGGACGTCATTCTTCACATCCCTCTTCACATAAAACTTCCATGCAGTCCAGCTGACGAGACACACAAAGCCAGCGAGCCAGAACGAGGCGATGAGCTGGGGAACTGGCTTCACAACAAGTTGCCAGTCGAACTTAAACGTGATGAGGCACTCCGTGATGATGATTGCCGCGATGATCCACGACTGGCGGCCGAACTTCTTGCATTTCCTGAAAACACAGAAAAAATATTTTCTGACTCATGTCCGCAACATTATTGATGCCTTTTTTTCCTGACGCTCAAAAGAAACCACAATCAGTGAATCATTTGGTACACACGATTTGTAGTGAAACGACTCACGTAAGTGAGTATGGTTTTACGCCGCTTTTAGAAATATTCCAGCAATATCACGGTGGGGGACACCAGAAATGGGCTTCACACATTGTACCCATGTCGGGAATCGAACCCGGGTCTTCGGCGTGATGAGCGAACGCTTTAACCACTAGGCTACCTGACCGCCCCAAAACGACTCACGAGTCATCTAAATACTGAAATGCTGCTGTAGTACAGTATTCCTTATCATTTTATATACATCCTTTTGTTCTTAGGACTTCTCCAAACAGTGGAAAACCCACAAACTCAGTTGCTGGTATCCAGTCGTGAATGCCCTCGACTTTCTATCTTAACTGAAGAATGCTACAGCACCCATGATTTATAAAACATCCTTTTAATATGCATCTAATGTCGATTTTGGACTGGTCATGAAAATTCCATGAAGTGAATCGGAGCTGCAACCTCACATATCATGTTTAGTATTGTAACCCACAGTTTCCTCACTGAGTGAGTTTGGTTTTACGCCGCTTTTAGCAATATTCCAGCAATATCACAGCAGGGGACACCAGAAATGGGCTTCACACATTGTACCCAGTCGGGAATCGAATCCGGGTCTTTGGCGTGACAAGCGAACGCTTTAACCACTAGGCTACCCGACCGCCCCTTCCTCACTGAACCAGTGGGGGTGATGAAATGGTGTTCAACCTTAACAGTCATGACTTCAGTTGTCTGCATGCTGCACATGGTCTTTCTTTCTCCTTCTGTCATCAAATACGTTTTATACAACAACTCTTGTATTGTTTCACTGATGTGTTTTCACTCTTTCTGGTAGTTCTTGCATTTAGATTTCCTCGGGCGTTTCCCTCACTCGTGTTTCTTACATTTTCCACCAAAACCTCAGTCATGTGTTTACTATAATGTCACTACTCACGGGTCATCTAAATACTGAAATGTTTCCCGCATCGCTGCAGCTCCCATGAAAAGGAAGAATACCAAACGACCAAGGCACAGGTAGTGTTCTGGGGGTATCCACAGGACAAACTTCAGGTAAAACGTGTTCAACTCCGCCAGCAGGAACTGGAAGAACAACAGGAACATCAGCAAGGAAGGTGAGGTGAAATTGGGTTTAACGTCGCGTCCAAGACTATTGCACTTATATAGCGACGTGCATGTACGTGTGTGTGTGTGTGTGGCTGCTTGTACTAGTCCAGACTGATGCCGATTTATAGTGCTAGCTCACTGAGATACCATGCCGCAGTTTAACATGAATACCCCACTCAGACACAGTATACTGACTCCGAGCCGACCAGTCCTTGTTTTAGCCCCTTAATGCCGAGCGCCAGACAGGGTAACAACAAGTACCATCTTTTAACGTCTTTTGGTATGACGCGGCCGGGGATCGAACCCCGGACCTTCCGCTCTCCGGACGGATGCTCTACCACAAGACCATGGAGGCAGTCACCAAGGAAGCATAGGACCACCTACACTTTACGACACAGTAAAGCAGTTGATACGGGAGTTATTGCCTGGATGGAAGCCAATTGGAAGGAAGCAAACTCAGTTGTCTCCCCTTGGCTTCATTCACATCACATGTGGAGCCTGGGGCCGATGTGACCCCGGTACTCCATTCTCGTACCCCAAGACCCCCATTACCCCATTAATGAGCCCCCATTGAGGTTTCAGAGCAGAATTGATCCAAAGTGAACCAATCTTGTGCCACCATTGAGGTTCAAGCAGAAACTGTCCGAAAAGCCCCATTTCTTTGCCCAAAAAGATATGTTGTTGTTCTCTTGTCATAGTTTTGACACAGATTAAGAACCCAATACCTCACATATTTGCGCATGTTGGGTTTCTATGCAGACTTGATACCCAACACGTATGTACCTACACATTCACTAGATGACTGAAGTGGAAAAGAACCACCTGGGTTTTTCACAGATTTCCACTCCATTCTCTGTATGATTCAATTCCCATACACACACTTCCCAATCGCATTAAAATCAGATCTTAGTTCTCGCTACCGCTAAACAAAGATCTGAGGACATCCCATTACGGGTCACATCAGACCAACCTTGCGCGAACTTTGACCGACCAATGGAATGACCAATCAGAGGACAGCTTTCTCGATAACAAATTTGAAACCTGAACAAAAAAACATTCCGGAATGGTTAATCGATGGTCTAGATTGTAAGGATTCAGTCGTTAAACCCGTAACTATCGTTCGGAATACCCCATGTTAAAGTTTTCGAGATTGCGTGATTAGAAATCACATTCCGACTGTCACTTTCATCATCTGGTAAGCGACACACTGATTGGTCGGATGAAAGGTCGTTCTGACGTGACCTGTAATAGGATGTCTTCAGATCTTTGTTTAGCGGTAGCAAAAACTAAGGTCTGATTTTAATGAGATTGCACACTTCCAAAAGACTCATCTCCCCAGGGTACTCACTATAGCAATGACTCCACACATGGCACACCAGCGCTTGAGACTGGCCGTGGGCTTCCAGTCAAAGTCCGTCCAGCTGTAAGGTGTGAACTGGGCAGCAACACGCCGCAACTTGCCGCTGGCGAAATACACCATAAACATACTCAAGCAATTGAACACTGAATCACCTAACAGGCACTCACTAAATGGTTTGTCCAAATTGGACAGACTCCACTGTCCAATGTCACGTACCTGTAGGTTGGGATGTCCCACATGCCCCTCCAATGGTACGGTTTCATGGTGAGATAGCGCAGGGTCTTCATGCCCAGATAAATACCAAACCCATTACACACAAGGGCATCCATCACCCACTGAAATATAAAAAAACAAACAAAACCAATATAGAAGAACTCATAAAACATCATCTGTCAACTGTGTTCATGAAGCGCTGTGTTGTTTGTTTGTTTGTTTGTTGTTTAATGCCGCACACAACAATATTCCACCTACACATATAATCGAGTCTAAACCAGACAATCCAATGATTGATATCATGAGCATCGATCCACGCAACTGGGATACAATGACATGCTTTAACCAAGTCAGCAAGCCTGACCACCCAATCCTGTTAGTGGCCTCTTACAACAAGCATAGCCGCTTTTTACAGCAAGCATGGGTTGCTGAAGACCAATTCTACCCCGGGATCTTCACGGGTGAAATATAATGCTAGTTCATAGTATTACACTTGTGTCTGTGCGTGTGACTGGCTGCTTTGCTTGTACCCTGACTAAAGCCTGTTTTATAGTGCTAGCCCACTGAGATACCCCGAAATTTAACATGGACCCGAGACAACCAGTCCTTGTTCTTTCCCCTCGAAAGCGCCATGTAGGGTAATAACAAGTACCACATTAAAGTCTTTGGCTATTCCATGGCCACTGACATGCTCTCCAGGCAGACTCTCCACTGGGCCACAGAGGCAGTCATTGACACAAGGTGTGATCCCTTGCTACAGTTGTGCCTCCCATCTCCTTTGGAACCTTGGGCAGCACTGGCAGTAGTCCACATTCAGGCACTTGACCTTCACATGACACAATACATCCTCGTGGCAGTCATGAACATCACATAACTGTTCAAGTTGCTCTTGTCTTCAGACCTGTTGAGATCCGATGTAGAATGGGTCATCAGCAATCCATGCTTGCCCAAAAAGGCAACTATGCTTGTCCTAAGAGGTGTCTAACAGGATTGGGGTTAAGACTCGCTGACTTGGTTGATGCTTGTCCAATTGTGTGTATCATTGCTTATGATGTCAATCACGAGATTGTCGGGTCCAGACTTGAATATTTACAGCCCACTGTCATATAGCTAGAATAATGCTGAGTGTAGCATTAAACAACAAATAAACAAACAAAATTGTATCTTCAAATCAAATGTCCACCTAATTTCTGTTTAGCACAGAAAAGCCTGTCTTCAAAAGAAGTCATCCTGTTATACAACCTAAATGCACACAGGTCATAATGACATCGAGTAATATCACTACTTAATTGCTGCTTGAGGTATTACACATGAAGCAGATTTACACAGTGGACCCAAGTGAGTTACGCCCAGAGTTGTCTCCCTTCGTAGAGTTACCTCCCTTGTAATGCTGTACTCTAAGTTCCTTCCCAGTGCTTGACACCTTTGTTACATTCTCAGTAACATCGCTGCCGTCAGTGTGGAAGTGGCCATTACAAGAATTTTGAAATTTGCCCTCTAACCCCAAATGTGGTAACGTTTATACTTTTGTTTATGTCTTTGCGAATGCCATCATAGTTAATTTTGAAAAGGTTTACAACTGACTTTATTTCCCAGATGAATTTAACATTTTGTTATTTGATCAGATTGGTTCGAGATTACAGACGAAAGGAAAATCACCCAACTTTCCCCTTACATTCTTACTATACCAATTACATGATAGTAGACATGAAATAGAAATTCAAAATGACAAACAAAGAAAATAATTTAGAAGGGGTAAGAGCATTTGGCGTCACAGCAGTCATCACATAACGGTCTGTCTGTTGCGAGTTCAACTCCAAGCATGGCTGTGGCCACCTATCACAGGGGGAGCTTTGACTAGTGGCAGCAATAGAATAGAGAGCTTTGCGAACGGGCTATCGCTGTGAGGAGTTTGGCTGTACTCACGTGATCCCACCAACATTCACTGAAGTTGGGCAGCTGGTGCTCCAGGGTGTACTCCAACAGCTCGAACATTATGCTGAGCACCGTACACAGCCACCAGTCCCGCAGGATCAGGGTCTGAAACAGGGGCGCACACATGCTGTCCAGTTACTCCAAGTCCAAAATACACATTTACAGTAAATCTTGAAATCAATACGTCTCCAAATTAATACGACTGCTGACCCTAGCCAAAAATGTGACTCAATATCAATGCAACCCCAGCAGTGAAAACTCACCGGATGCCAATTATGTAATTTCTATTCTTACAACTGCTGCTCAATAAACTATGATGTGGAATATACAGTGATCCCTCGCTACAACGCTACCTTTTGGGTCCAAATAATTGATGAGCGTTAAAGATGAGTGTAAAAAAAGATTGATCGAGTATAATATGCGCTTTCAAAAAAAACAACACATTGTATCCCTTCAGGTGAATAAGCAGGTAGATCTATAAAAAACTTGGTCAATAAAAGTATGAAATTTGATATAAAACATCACTAGACATGAAGATTTACCATTTAAAATGTATTTCCTGCTCTCAAAGGCATTGTTTAATATGCAGAGATTAAGATTACCGCGCAACATGTATTTCGATTGTGAAAACGTTTTGTTGACATTTAATTGTCAAACTGCCTCAAATATGACTTTTAGCGGGTCATGGTACGGCATTTATGATATGTGTATCCATTCTCTTGGAACTAAAGTTCGTTTCAAGGCATCAATAGCAGTAATCTGACCGTGGTTGCTGTTAATAACAGTGAGTTGTGCGATCTAATGATCATACGATCGCATACGATTATTGTAAAGATTATTGAATGAAATTTTGAATATAATTATAAAAAATATATTGCAAACATCTGCTTCCGGAATCTTTGCACACATATAAGCCTGGTGCATCACATGACATTTAAATCTGTTGGTGTCTTTTACTGCTCAGTTACTGTAAATCTTTAAATTAACGTGAGCGTGAATAAAATGAGAAAAACTTGAGTGGTCCTTGCTCACATTACCTAAAATTCAAATTTATGTCTCCAAAATGACTAGCAACAATAACACGGCCTCACTACACACTTTGGATAGCGGAAATACCAACTTGAATATCAACACAAACAACTATACAGTGTTCCCTCGTTATTGCGCGCTTCAATATAGCACTAACTCGGTTATAGCGCGCGGTAAAGCATGGCTCCCAAAATTTACTAACATTTTCCATAAACTCAAGTTTTCCAATGACACAATTTTTTCCCCAATCTCAGAAAACATTATCAGCTGATCACCGCGATCACGTAACACCGGAAATACCAGTCAAATAATCCTAACTGAAGAACACAATTTAATCCTATTATTATAATATCTGGTAATATAAAAAAATGTTCATTGTTTATCTGGACTTTTGTTGTCCTTACAGGTACATATATATATAGTGATATGTTCTCTGCTACACCTCAGACTCGGTCACAAAAAGCACAATGACAAGGTTTGTTCATCTTGCAATCAGGCCAAAACCATTGCTCACATTACAAGAATGTCAAGACCATGCCCCAGCCCGGGCTAGGTTAAAACAAGAATTGCAGTTAGATCTGCTATCTGTCATAGATCTCCTAAAGCCAAGAGATGCAATAGCGAAGGCCAAACTAACTGAAGGAGTAGGTATTTACTCCGGCGGATGTGTTCCTCATAGTAAAGAAGTTGACATCCATACATTCTCTTCCTTTAGTTACTATCTACATCTTACCTTCAGCCACCAGCCGAAGAAGTGGGTGGGGACAAAGCCATCTACCTTGTCCTGAAATATCACAAAATACAGAGAGTTATCTACCGGCTGTCATGGTACAGAAGTAGTGCCTTCATAGTAACACCACTTAGCTTCAATCAGCTCAACTTAGCTTCAATCAGCTCAACTTAGCTTCAATCTGCTCAACATAGCTTCAATCTGCTCAAATTAGCTTCAATCTGCTCAACTTAGCTTCAATCAGCTCAACTTAGCTTCAATCTGCTCAACCTAGCTTCAATCTGCTCAACTTAGCTTCAATCAGCTCAACTTAGCTTTAATCTGCTAAACATAGCTTCAATCTGCTCAACATAGCTTCAATCAGCTCAAGTTAGCTTCAATCAGCTCAACTTAGCTTCAATCTGCTCAACATAGCTTCAATCTGCTCAACATAGCTTCAATCAGCTCAACTTAGCTTCAATCAGCTCAACTTAGCTTTAATCTGCTAAACATAGCTTCAATCTGCTCAACTTAGCTTCAATCTGCTCAACATAGCTTCAATCAGCTCAACTTAGCTTCAATCAGCTCAACTTAGCTTTAATCTGCTCAACATAGCTTCAATCAGTTCAACGTAGTTTCAATCTGCTCAACTTAGCTTCAATCTGCTCAACATAGCTTCAATCTGCTCAAATTAGCTTCAATCTGCTCAACTTAGCTTCAATCAGCTCAACTTAGCTTCAATCTGCTCAACCTAGCTTCAATCTGCTCAACTTAGCTTCAATCAGCTCAACTTAGCTTTAATCTGCTAAACATAGCTTCAATCTGCTCAACATAGCTTCAATCAGCTCAACTTAGCTTCAATCAGCTCAACTTAGCTTCAATCTGCTCAACATAGCTTCAATCTGCTCAACATAGCTTCAATCAGCTCAACTTAGCTTCAATCAGCTCAACTTAGCTTTAATCTGCTCAACATAGCTTCAATCTGCTCAACTTAGCTTCAATCTGCTCAACATAGCTTCAATCAGCTCAACTTAGCTTCAATCAGCTCAACTTAGCTTTAATCTGCTCAACATAGCTTCAATCAGTTCAACGTAGTTTCAATCTGCTCAATATAGCTTCAATCTGCTCAATTTAGCTTCAATCAGTTCAACTTAGCTTCAAATCAGTTCAACTCAGCTTCAATCTGCTAAACTTAGCTTCAATCGCCTCAACTCAGCTTCAACATAGCTTCAATCTGCTCAATTGCTTCAATCAGTTCAACTTAGCTTCAAATCAGTTCAACATAGCTTCAATCTGCTCAACTTAGCTTCAATCAGCTCAGGTAAATTAACATGTATTATGAGTATAAGTAAAGGTACCAAAGTCTTGAATGAGATGAGCCCAGCATCTTACCCATATATTGTGCAATGGATCTGTGTGGTTTGCATCATACAAAAAGCAGTTTCCACCATATGCTTTTTCTGGTAATGGCTTCCCTAATTCTTCATCAAAATGTTTCAACAACTGTCTTGCATCCTCTACTCTCTGTGAGAAAATATAAACAATGAATTCAAGATGAAGTTTTCTTAAACATCTTATTATAATTCATTACCGACAAGCATTAATTCATTGCTGTTAGAATACTACTTCTCTGTGTGAAAAAAACAAAACTGTACATAAATAACAATTCAAGACCCCATTCCATGATGCAGTCTTAGCGCTAAGATGATCATATTTTAACCTACACTTATTACAGTCATAGTGCTAAGATCGATCAGCGAAACGGGCCCCAGCTTTGCAAACTTGCAGTCTTGCTTAGTGAAAATAATTCTTGAATAGATTTTGAGAATATTTCTTTTTAAATCACACTGGGGTACTGGGGACCTATATCCAACAAGTACATTTCAAACAACTTACCTGGAATAACAAAAATACTAAGGCAAGTTCATATGTTATGCTCAGGCACAGGATAAGTCTCCAAAATGCTGAAAAGTAAGACAAAAATATGTGACTATAGTATATAATGTTATCCACAATGATCAAAGTATACATTACTTAGGAAATTCCTTCTTTGTTCAGATATTTAAGGTCATTATTGTTTCTATGGTCACAAAAAAGCAGATGATGCACTCTCAATTTTTTTTTAAGTTTCATTATTTCTCCATTAAACATAAATTGAAATGATCAACAAACCCATTAAATACGGGTTCTTCACTCACCCAAACTTCAAAATTTAGCTTTTTCAAGGAAGTTTGAATGAAAACAATGATTGAAAGGGAGGTAACTCCTGACCTGGATGTGGTCTGACGAAAGGTCCATCAGGAGTCTGGGTCACTCCGAACAGTAGAAAGGCTAGCACCACTGCCATCAGTCCTCTGGGAAATAGCATCCATTGTACAGACAGACCATTATCAAATACCCCTTGTCCCCCAAGGAAGTACTTTTACATTGTGCAGATCTCACACACTTCCGAGGATGGGGGAGTGAGTGTGTGAGTGTTTGAGTTAGGTTTAATGCTGCTTTGAACAACATTCCAGTTATATCACAGCGTGTCAGATAAATGTGGGAGGAAAGACCGAAGTGATGCAGGTCACATTTACCAATGTAGTGAAACCCACGAGCACGGGTTTGGTGCTGACAAACCTAGAAACATAATCAGGTTGAACTAGGATTCCAACTCATAAACCATAGCTTTCTGGAGTTCCCAAGCAGGTACCTCTGCACAGCAATGCCCAAGGGATGCAACTCTGCACAGCAATGCCCAAGGGATGCAACTCTGCACAGCAATGCTCAATGGATGCAACTCTGCACAGCAATGCCCAAGCAATGAAACTCTGCACAGCAATGCCCAAGCAATGAAACTCTGCACAGCAATGCCCAAGCAATGAAACTCTGCACAGCAATGCCCAAGCAATGAAACTCTGCACAGCAATGCCCAAGGGATGCAACTCTGCTCTACCATGCCCCCAATGATGGAGAAACATACAGTTGTAATTGAATGAATTTACGCCACTCCGAAACATAGTTCAGTTACATCTCTGTGTTACATTCAGCTTAATGTGTCAGGGAAGGCTTAAGTGAGGTTGTAGAGGTTTGCCACTTTGGTGAAATCCATGGGAACGGTAGGGTGTTGACAAACCAAGACCCACTTGCACAAAGAGATCTTAGCGCTCAGATGATCCTTACTCCCATACTTTAACATAGGCTTACAATAGTCTTATCGCAAAGATCTCTTTGTGCAAGTAGGTCCTCGGATCAAAATCAGGGCGACTGGGATTCGAAACCACAATTAGTAGACCGATGCACAGCAAAGGGACACAAGTCTAAACATTAGAACTAATGTTAGAACTGATGTTAGAACTGATGTTAGAACTGATGTTAGATTTGACTTTTACATCTGAGGTGAGTGTTAGTCTCAGTTTAGAAGTTGACACAAATATGACGTCCATCCTCCTGTGCATCCTCACCGTTTGGCATTGTAGTCTCGGTCCGGGACGACGTCTTCAAACAGAGCCACATAGAACAGGATGATGATGAAGATGAACAGCACGGTGATGGTGTGAGCGCGCCTGCAACACAGACTCACATAAACAGTGGGGGAAGGGAAGGGTTGGGGAATCTCCTATACTTTCTGTACCTACAAGGAGGCAGTGGGAATGAGGGATTTGCCTAAAAATATCAATCCTATGACGGGCTAGACACAGGTACTTGTCCATTGGTCCAAGACTAGAAAAAATATTAAGGGGGATTAGTTGTTTTCTCCCCAGATCTAGTAACGAACTGACCATTTGATTTTGTGGGGCCTGGAATTTTATCATAATGAATAAACGGTGCCAGAAATTGAATAAAATAATAATGCTTCAGATGGTTGAAAAAAGAGAGTACACCTACTCCACCTTCTATACAGGTGGGAGGAGGGCCACTCACCAGAAGACAAGCCTGGGGTACTGGGGACCTACTCCACCTTCTATACAGGTGAGAGTTGTGCCACTCACCAGAAGACAAGCCTGGGGTATTGGGGACCTACTCTACCTTCTATACAGGTGAGAGTTGTGCCACTCACCAGAAGACAAGCCTGGGGTACTGGGGACCTACTCCACCTTCTATACAGGTGAGAGTTGTGCCACTCACCAGAAGACAAGCCTGGGGTACCGGGGACCTACTCTACCTTCTATACAGGTGAGAGCTGTGCCACTCACCAGAAGACAAGACTGGGGTACTGGGGACCTACTCCGCCTTCTATACAGGTGGGAGTTGTGCCACTCACCAGAAGACAAGACTGGGGTACTGGGGACCTACTCCACCTTCTATACAGGTGAGAGTTGTGCCACTCACCAGAAGAAAGACATGGTTCCATCATCGTAGAGTTGGGAGTTTTTGTGTTTGCGTTTCTCCTCCTCCCAGTCGTGAGCTGTCATGTTGTGTATCTTCAGCTGCTCTGTGTCTTGCCGAGCAGACGCCATCTTGGCCACCTCACGACTCAAGCCTTGGTTACCTCTCGGGGGAATCACCGTGGCCACAGCAAGCACTCATAGACGACTTAGTCGCTTCTGCGACTGCTGCAACAAAAACACCCTTCATCACAAACCTAAACTTTACATCACAAACCCTTTTTGCACAGGAGGGGAAAACGACACTCACCCTAATAGTGATAAAAACCACAGGACACTTCTGAAAATAGTTCATTTTCACTCACCCGATGGACACTTTTAACATGTGTCCAATGTTCCAGTGAGGAAAGTGGGTTCTTCAGCTGGGTTAGTGCCTACTATTACCTTCAGAAAGGAAGTTAATTTTCAATAGGGCTGCAACGAATAACCTATGAGGCGAATACGATTCATATCACGAATGTAGGGTAATGGATACGAATATTAATTCACGAATACAATAATAAGTCAGCAGTTGATGTATTATTTGTCATATTCAGCATGTTCAGTGAGGCAAAAACAACATTAATTATTTGACATGGTTTGTTAATTATCTATATTATACATGTACATTTACATACTGCACTTGTCCAGGTACTTAGTCTTAGTATCTGCTCAAATGCTACAATGACCAGTGACCAAATTCCTGTCAAATTAAATATTATAAGAGTGTTGTCTTTAAAGAAACCTATGCATATTATACGTTCTTATGGACATTTTAGGTACAGGGTATGTAAATGCACATGATTGCATATTCATAAATATTTGATTCTAGTGGCAACGAATAACAAATTCAATTCATGAATGGATACGGTTCAATTCAACGAATACGCGAGAGGAATCATAACGGCCCTAATTTTCAATTACTTTTGTCAACTTTTCTCTGCAAAACTAGCAGAGATGTGTTCAGTTAAATACTTTCCAATCAGTTTAACAAACTCATAGAGATTTAGACCATATAACCACCTTCAGGTTAAGGTATCTACAGAATTAAGAACCATCCATGCAAGGTGTTAAAACTTCAGTTGACACAATGGAGAGAACTAGACACTTGTGAAGTCATTGGTCAGCCTTCCAGTGTTACAATGGCTACACACACACACAAGGCAATCCAATCAACAGTTAGCTGCCTTGTAAAACAAGTATAGTTGCAACAGGGATAAGTAGTAACTCGTATACTCTAACTTAAACTTGCAACAGCCGTAGCACTAAGATTGTTATACCAAACAGGCCCTGAGCCCCATTCGACAAAGCAATCTTTGTGCTGTGGCTGTCGTAAGTCAATGTTAAAGAATGGGAGTTACAATCGTTTCACCGCTCGTCTTTTTACACTGGAGTTACAACCATCTCAGCAATAAGATCACATTGTGGAATGCCTCCCTGGAGTTACAACCGCTCAGCGCTAAGATTGCATTGTGGAACGGCTGGCTGGTGTTACAACCGCTCAGCGCTAAGATCGCATTGTGGAACGGATCCTTGGAGTTACAATCATCTCAGCACTAAGATCGCATTGTAGAACAGATCCCCAGCAATTATCTTAGCAAAAAGATCGCATTGTGGGACGGCTCGCTGGAGTTACAATTGTATTAGTGCTAAGATCACATTGTTGAATGGCTCCCTGGAGTTACAATCATCTCAGCAACAAGATGGCATTGAACGACGGTTCGCTGGAGTTACAATAGTCTTACCGCTAGGATTGCATTGTGGGACGGCTTACTGGAGTTACAACCATCTTTGCGCTAAGATTTCATTGTGAAACAAGTCTTTGGACATGTTCTGGCTCACAGGTTCCAAAAATCAAAATTCTACAATTATATTTCATCAAGTTCACTATTTACCAAATATCAGCACACTCCCAGGTGAAGTAGGTACACTTGTTACTCTCTCTTCAGACTAATGTGTAGCTCTGTGCACACAGCCTGAGACTTCAGCCACGAAGTCTGAAGCCCCAAATCCTGTCGGTCTAGTAAGCTCAGCTAATAGTCCACATAACACAAACTTCAACTGAAACAGTTCGGGCTCGCAGTCTCAGAAGGTTTTGGCACCAAATGTCACTGTGTGCTGAAACTATAGTGTCTGGATGGAGGTGCCATCTGTTTCCCCCTGCTGGTACGGTATCTGACGAGCATACGGAAACTCCAGAAGCCCGTGAAAATGAGGTGAGGTGAGGTAAAATGGGGTTTAACGTCGCGTCCAAGATTATTGCACTTATATAGCGACATGCATGCATGTGTATGTGTGTGTGTGTAGCTGCTTGTATTATTCCGGACTGATGCCGATTTATAGTGCTAGCACACTGAGATACCATGCCGCAGTTTAACATGAATACCCCACTCAGACACAGTATACTGACTCCGAGCCGACCAGTCCTTGTTTTAGCCCCTTAATGCCGAGCGCCAGACAGGGTAACAACAAGTACCATCTTTTAACGTCTTTTGGTATGACGCGGCTGGGGATTGAACCCCGGACCTTCCACTCTCCGGGCGGACGCTCTACCACTAGACCACGGAGGCGATCCGTGAAAATGACTGTATTTGTTGCTAATGACTTTCAAATATAGTTGTATTAAGTGGTAGTAAAGATACTTATATCTTTGGAAAAATATTTGAATCAGCAGATTAGGGGTTTCAAATTAAACATGCACGTCGCATGTTGGAACAACTGTCTTTGTTTACAAAGCTCAGCGAATGCTTTGACTGTAATTATGGTAAATTAGTAACGGTGGAGAAATGTTTGGGTAGACAACTCTATTAGCATTGAAGGACACTGCCTAATTGAAGATTTATGTTGACTACATTTCCAAGAGCAGTTAATTATGATGGATTGAAATTTGGTAACATTTGGCATGTTGGTTGTAATAAGGAATCTATCCAATTCCAGTGCTCGTGTTAATTTCACATTTGTCTGTGGAAATCATTACAGTGAAACCACCAATCGGTCTCCCCTTCACCATGCTGTCTCCCATCTTAATTTGCTGGTTCTCAGGTCGATATACGAGTCCTGGTCACAAATGGTAATTTCTCCAAGATCAAGGCCTAAAAGGTGGGTTGGCATTGTACTGGGTGGGTGGGCATTATACTGGGTGGGTTGGCATAATACAGGGTGGGTGGGCATTACACAGGGTGGGTTGGCATTATACAGCCTTACAAGATGGGTTGGCATTATTCAGGTGAGATGGAATTATACTTGATGGGCATTGTACAGGGTGGGTGGGCATTATACTGGGTGGGTTGGCATAATACAGGGTGGGTTGGCTTTGTACAGGGTGGGTGGGCATTATACTGGGTGGGTTGGCTTTGTACAGGGTGGGTTGGCTTTGTACAGGGTGGGTGGGCATTGTAAAGGATGGGTGGGCTTTATACTTGGTGGGTTGCCATAATACAGGGTGGGTTGGCTTTGTACAGGGTGGGTGGGCATTATACTGGGTGGGTTGGCTTTGTACAGGGTGGGTTGGCTTTGTACAGGGTGGGTTGGCTTTGTACAGGGTGGGTGGGCATTGTAAAGGATGGGTGGGCATTATACTTGGTGGGTTCGCATTGTACTTGGTGGGTTGGCAGAATACAGTATGGGTAGGCATTATACTGGGCGGGTGGGCATTGTACTGGCTGGGTTGGCATAATACAGGGTGGGTGGGCATTGTAAAGGATGGGTGGGCATTATACTGGGTGGGTTGGCATTGTACAGGGTGAGTTGGCATTGTACAGGGTGGGTTGGCTTTGTACAGGGTGGGTTGGCATTGTACAGGGTGGGTTGGCATTGTACAGGATGGGTTGGCATTGTACAGGGTGGGTTGGCTTTGTACAGGATGGGTTGGCATTGTACAGGGTGGGTTGGCACTAGACAGGGTGGGTTGGCATTGTACAGGGTGGGTTGGCACTAGACAGGGTGGGTTGGCATTGTACAAGGTGGGTTGGCTTTGTACAGGGTGGGTTGGCATTGTACAGGGTGGGTTGGCATTGTACAGGGTGGGTTGGCTTTGTACAGGGTGGGTTGGCATTGTACAGGGTGGGTTGGCATTGTACAGGGTATTTTGGCTTTGTACAGGGTGGGTTGGCATTGTACAGGGTGGGTTGGCATTGTACAGGGTGGGTTGGCATTGTACAGGGTGGGTTGGCTTTGTACAGGATGGGTTGGCATTGTACAGGGTGGGTTGGCACTAGACAGGGTGGGTTGGCATTGTACAGGGTGGGTTGGCACTAGACAGGGTGGGTTGGCATTGTACAAGGTGAGACTGGAATGACAGGTGGTTGGTACTGCATATATATGATAGCAGCCTAGCGAGTCTGGACCAGACAAACCAGTGATTGATATTTATAATGACCAACTTCAAACACTCAGACAGGGTACTATGACATGCTATCAACCAAGTCACCATCAAAGACTAACACACATAAAATACTATCATTTAAAGAACATCTAGGTCATAGTTTGTAACACTACAGAATTGTTATCCATTGTTAACCATAGAAACTGACTTACCTACGAAATGAATTCAGGAAAATATTACAAAATAGGTTCTGGTACCTCAGAACTCGCTTCACTCCCTCGACTCGACTGCAGCTATGCGTGTTGCTATGTATAATTCAGTGCAATCCAGCTGCAAGTCACAGAGCCCTGGAACAATGCATGGATAATGCACCATTCTCCTGGTGAAACTTGATGCTATGATTTGTATGATTTGTAGTGAATTAACAATTAAGGCAGAGACAAATGTCTGCTGATCCGAAAGTGAAATCAGTCTCATAAATACCAGTATTTGAACAGTATAATACTGCTAGTACTGGTTGACATAGTCAAGGATGAGACATAAAGACCTGTTCGTCACGGGTGGAACGAGCATTCATTGAAACAGCCATCCTTGCACCCTTTCGAGTTGAGTTGATTCGTTCAACTGTGTCATATGGCCCTGTGACGCAGGGGTAGCATTATACAGATGGCTGTTTCAATAAATGCTCGTTCCACCCGTGACGAACAGGTCTGGTTGTTGATGAAATATAGTGATAGCTAAATAGACAGATTTTTTATTCATGCACCGATTGTCTTTAAATGTAATATCCAGTTATGTATGACTGTTTAATAATCTCATACCAACTTTGACTGGAGTAGGTCTGATAGTTTTTCAGATATTGTAGTAAACGTCGTACCTTAAATTACCTTCCAGACTATAACTAGCGTTAGAAATTGGCACTAGTCCTATAGTCCTTGTCAAATTGCCCAATAGTAAGGTATCATAAGGATTGGTAGAAATTTGCCATTTTTATGGGGTTTGCTGTATGTTATCATCATAAAGACGAGTGGACTAATAATGTTAGTTTCCACTACTAACATGTTATGTCAGCAACAGCTGATAGCAACAGCTGACAGCCAGGCTACTATCCATCACTCTCTGCACCAATGTTCTGTAGATCTCCAGTTGAGATATGTGGCACTGCCATTTCTTGGTAATCAGAATGGACTGATACACCTCTACCCTCCTGGAGACCTGTTATAATTAGGAGATAACATATGTGTTTTCAATTTAGAGTTCTTACCTGTAGATTAAACAGCACATAATGTTATTTGGAATGGAACACGCAGGACTTGGTTTCAAATGTTAAATTTCGCATGGTAAAATTTACAGGTAACCTAACACTACATACAAAAAATACAGCATGTTTATACAGACATTCCACATGACAAAAGAAAATGCAAGCTCTTTGAATGTCAATGCAGATACTGAAGCTGCATTTGTCTAATACAGTGTTTTGAGTGGGATTTGGGGCGGTTGGGTAGCCTAGTGGTTAAAGTGTTCGCTCATCACGCCAAAGACCTGGTTCAATTCCCAAAATGGGTACAACGTGTGAAGCCCATTTCTGGTGTCCCCTGCCATTATATTGCTGGAATATTGCTAAAAGCAGCGTAAAACCATACTCACTCACTCACTTGAGTGGGTTTTCAATCAGAAGGAAGGAAACATCGATACTCTGCCTATAAGCAAAGTAATGTTTTCAGCGGTAGAAACTAACATTTTTGGTCTAGGAGTCCTTATAATGACAACATATAGCAAAACCCCTGAAACTTGGCAAATTTCTACAAGTCCTAATGATACCTTACCTATTGGGCAGTTTGGCAAGGAGTACAGGACTAGTGCCAATTTCTAAAACTGAAGTATTATACTGAATGTGCTCCAACATTGTTGTTATACATCATTATATTTTCCTCATATACTGGTATATTTCAGGCTCTGAAAGTTAGTAGCAAAGCTATTTTGTAAGCTAACATAAAGTTGGCACCCTTGAAAAAAAATGAAGCAAGTCTTGCAAGGTTTTTTTCTACACTGTACATCACTGTTACTGTATCACATCGCCTATTGTGAAGGATATGACGGTGCAGTTGGATACAGAAGCCCACCAAAGTCATACCCACTGTTGTCCCAATAACTTGAAATAAACACTTAGTCGATATATATCTTGTTTACTTTCCACCATCTAATGCCACACATATTTCTGATATCACAGAATCAATGCCTTTCAAAGACCAGAATCAAGTATTTTCCAAAAGCATGGTAGAATTTAGGTTATTGACAGAGAGCAATGGTACAGTCATGCAGTAATCAAATCAGCTGTTTAAATCATGAGTGGTTACGGTGATTTGAAACCTCTGATTGACCAACAGAAGCAAGTATTTTCCAAATGCATGGTAGAATTTAGGTTATTGGCAGAGATCAATGGTACTGTCATGCAGTGATCAAATCAGCTGTTAAAATCAGAAGTGGTTACGGTGATTTGAAACCTCTGATTGACAAACAGAAGCAAGTATTTTCCAAATGCATGGTAAAATTTAGGTTATTGACAGACAGCAATGGTCACGATGGTACTGTCATGATTTTACCAAATTTGTGATCATGCTCATAAATTAAACATTCTTATTTTTCATTGTCAATTTCTTTGAAATTCCTCCAAACATCTGTCAGTGTCCTATGAAATGGACAAAAATGAAAGCCTGCAACTTGAGAATACAAATTTCAAGACATAGGAATCTTCAACATAAAGGCTACTCATTGAAAATGACCTCTAACTAACCCAATATTTCTTTGTCGTAAATTCAGATATTATTTCCGAATGTCCGTGTTCGTAAAATACATCACAGATGACACATGTACACCCATATTCATATATACCCATTACATATGTACAAGGGATTTATCAAGGATTCTAAAGTAAGTGCCAAAAAGTGCTAAAATTCGTATTATTGTTCAAAATTGGTAATTTTTTAACAGATATATTTTCGTAAAATTCTGAATTGGGAATTTTGTTTCAAGCTGGGAATTTTACTGTCTTTTGCTGCAGACTTGAGCCGAATATCAACCTCTCAGCAGATCTAGATAACTCCCTGTATGCCCAACACAGAAACAAATTGTTAATAGAAAAACTAAAAACTATACAATATCAGCAGCCTCCACAAATAATCAATACCCTGTACTTCCCAGAGTGGACGAAAGACACACACAGAACAATAACACATGTAATGACTATTTACCCACACTGAAATAAGACAGATTGAGCCAAGCCTGAAATAGACCCTCTGGCCCATATAAATGCAAAATGACACGACAACGTGAGAGAAAGATATTAAAAGTAAGCGATTTATCTATCCATACCTTCTCAAAGGCTGATATTCGACTCCAAATCAGCAGCAAATGTCAGTGAAAATTCCCAAATAGGAATAAAAAAATCCCAAATTCATGTTATTATAATTATAACCTATGCCAAGGGGACTTGTCTATCTATGATAGATGGTCCAATTAAGAAGAGTCTTTAATGCCTACCTTTACATTATTGTATTGAACGCTATATTAAAACTCGGACTGAGAGTAGGAACCTAAAAAAATCTACATTTTGAACAAAATAATGTGTTTTTTCCCAATCTGCTTTCCAAAGGCTTCTTGTTTGAAATCCAAGATACATAACTGTGTGAGATCCAGGGAGAGACTGGGGAAGAGGTTGAGACTGGGGAAGACAAGGAGAGACATGAGAGACAGGATAGACTTGAAGAGGCTGGGAGAGACAGGGAGAGACAGGAGAGACATGGATAGGTTGGGAGACACAGGAAGAGGCTGTGAGGGACAGGAGAGACGGTGAGAGACTGGGAGAGACAGGGAGAGGCAGGGAGAGACAGAGAGACAGGGAGAGACAGGAGAGGCTGGGAGAGACAGGAGAGGCTGGGAGAGACAGGAGAGACAGGAGAGACAGGGAGAGACAGGAGAGGCTGGGAGAGACAGGAGAGGCTGGGAGAGAGGAGAGACAGGGAGAGACAGGAGAGGCTGGGAGAGACAGGAGAGGCAGGAGAGGCAGGAGAGGCAGGGAGAGACAAGAGAGACAGGAGAGGCTGGGAGAGACAGGAGAGACAGGAGAGGCAGGGAGAGACAGGAGAGGCTGGGAGAGACAGGAGAGGCTGGGAGAGACCGGGAGAGACAGGAGAGGCAGGGAGAGACAGGAGAGACAGGGAGAGACAGGAGAGACAGGAGAGGCAGGGAGAGACAGGAGAGACAGGGAGAGACAGGAGAGGCTGGGAGAGGCAGGAGAGGCAGGAGAGGCAGGGAGAGACAAGAGAGACAGGAGAGGCTGGGAGAGACAGGAGAGACAGGAGAGGCAGGGAGAGACAGGAGAGGCTGGGAGAGACAGGAGAGGCTGGGAGAGACCGGGAGAGACAGGAGAGGCAGGGAGAGACAGGAGAGGCTGGGAGAGACAGGAGAGGCTGGGAGAGACCGGGAGAGACAGGAGAGGCAGGGAGAGACAGGAGAGACAAGAGAGACAGGAGAGGCAGGGAGAGACAGGAGAGGCTGGGAGAGACAGGAGAGACAGGAGAGGCTGGGAGAGACAGGGAGAGACAGGAGAGACTGGGAGAGACAGGAGAGGCTGGGAGAGACAGGAGAGGCTGGGAGAGACAGGAGAGGCAGGGAGAGACAGGAGAAGCTGGGAGAGACAGGAGAGACAGGGAGAGACAGGAGAGGCAGGGAGAGACAGGGTGAGACTGGGAGAGACAGGAGAGGCTGGGAGAGACAGGAGAGGCAGGGAGAGACAGGAGAGGCTGGGAGAGACAGGAGAGGCAGGGAGAGACAGGAGAGACAGGGAGAGACAGGAGAGGCAGGGAGAGACAGGAGAGGCAGGGAGAGACAGGGTGAGACTGGGAGAGACAGGAGAGGCTGGGAGAGACAGGAGAGACAGGAGAGGCAGGGAGAGACAGGAGAGGCTGGGAGAGACAGGAGAGACAGGAGAGGCAGGGAGAGACAGGAGAGGCAGGGAGAGACAGGGTGAGACTGGGAGAGACAGGAGAGGCTGGGAGAGACAGGAGAGACAGGAGAGGCAGGGAGAGACAGGAAAGGCTGGGAGAGACAGGAGAGGCTGGGAGAGACAGGAGAGACAGGAGAGGCAGGGAGAGACAGGAGAGGCTGGGAGAGACAGGAGAGACAGGAGAGGCAGGGAGAGACAGGAGAGGCAGGGAGAGACAGGGTGAGACTGGGAGAGACAGGAGAGGCTGGGAGAGACAGGAGAGACAGGAGAGGCAGGGAGAGACAGGAGAGGCTGGGAGAGACAGGAGAGGCAGGGAGAGACAGGAGAGACAGGGAGAGACAG